GTCAGACATAACCCCCATTGTGGTATAGATAGCCTGGGTAACTGATTTAGACATGGTGGCATCCAAGAGCGAGTGGAACTCCTCTGAGTCCAAATGCTCCAGGGGGGCCAGCCGTTCCCCTGGCAGGGTGGGGGGTGCAGACACCAAGGACCTGCTGGCGTCCCCCTTACCACTTGGGCCAGGGGCAGAGTATTCAGTAGGGGTCTGCATCTTGGGCCAAAAAGTGAGTGAGGCAAACTAGCACTAGGGTAACTAGTACTGTGATACTAGAGTGTGCAGGCTGGGCAAGAGGCTGACAAGGCAAACAGACAAAAAAAAGCACAGTAACAAACCAGAAAAGTTTGTGCCTGTATGTCAGAAATGTCCATGTGTCCATCTGCCATCACAGTCTCCCATTTGGTCCCCTAGGGGAGTGTCCACCAAGTGGGAGACCTGCATAAATACGGGCGGGTAGCCCACAGGAAAGCCAGATCTTGTTTTACCCTCAATGCGTAGTCTCGTTATTGGTGGGATTTATTACCAACGACTAGAGACTGACTGCTGGAGCCGCAAGCCGCTTGGTGGATATATTTGTTCGGCGGGTATCGACGGTTTGTGGATTTATGTTCGGGAGTTTGGAACCGCTTACGGATCCCGTTCGGGAGATTACCACTTCCCATGACGGTGGTTCGTATATAACAGTCTATGCGAACGGAGATAGTGAGATTGCGAAGGGGGAAGCTTAACTAAACGGCGGTTTTCCTCACAGACACCAGGGGTGTCTTAACATGTGTAAAGGAGTCATTATCAGACTGGAGCAATTTAAATGGAGTCCAAGGGAAATTGGATTATTTAAAAGTTGCACTGCTGAAGGCAACATAAAATGCTTGTCAGTAAAAGCAAAAAATTCAAGAAGCAACTGTGGTACTCCGCAGATGTGGCCAAAATAGTAAAACAACAACAAGTTAGCATTTAGTAATTATAAAAAAAACCAGAGTGAGGAAGATAGAATGATCTATAAGATTAGGCAGAAAGAGGCTAAGCAAGTTACACACAGAAGGGAAAATAGCACAGTGAGTAAAAAAAAGGGGACAAAACATTTTTTAGATACATAAATGAGAAAAGAAAAGTAAAACAAGAATTAGTTAGATTAAAAACAAAAAAAAAGGAAGGTATGTAGAAGAGGATAAAGGTCTAGCTGACTGCCTCAATGAATATTTTTGTTCTGTATTTACAGATGAAAATTAAGGAAAGGGACCTCAGTTGAGAAAAAGGATAAATGAGTCATTTATTACACGTGAGTTTACAGAGGAAGAGGTTCTATTTCAACTGTCAAAAGTAAAGACAAATAAGTCAATGGGACCTGATGGAATACACCCAAAGCTATTAAAAGAGCTTAGTGGTGTACTAGCAAAACCATTAACAGATTTATTTAACCAATCATTGTTAACAGGAGTAGTCCCAGAAGATTGCAAGTTAGCGAATGTTGTGCCCATTCACAAGAAAGGTAGTAGGGAGGAGTCGGGCAACTATAGGCCAGTAAGCCTTACTTCAGTAGTGGGGAAAGTGATGGAAACCATGTTAAAGGATAGGATTGATGAACATCTAAAAACACATGGATTTCAAGATCAGAGACAACATGGGTTTACTTCAGGGAGATCATGCCAAACTAATCTTATTGATTTTTTTGATTGGGTAACTAAAATTATAGATCAGGGTGGTGCAGTAGACATTGCTTACCTAGATTTCAGTAAGGCTTTTGACACTGTTGCACATAGAAGGTTTATCAATAAACTGCAATCTTTAAGTTTGGATTCCAATATTGTTGAATGGGTAAGGCAGTGGCTGAGTGACAGGCAACAGAGGGTTGTAGTTAATGGAATATATTCGAAGCTTGGACTTGTCACCAGTGGGGTACCTCAGGGATCTGTACTTGGACCCATTCTCTTTAATATTTTTATTAGTGGTATTGCAGAAGGTCTTGATGGTAAGGTATGTCTTTTTGCTGATGATACTAAGACATGTAGCAGGGTTGATGTTCCAGGAGGGATAAGCCAAATGGCAAATGATTTAGGTAAACTAGAAAAATGGTCAGAATTGTGGCAACTGACATTTAACGTTGATAAGTGCAAGATAATGCATCTTGGACGTAAAAACCCAAGGGCAGAGTACAGAATATTTGATAGAGTCCTAACATCAACAATTGAGGAAAGGGATTTAGGAGTGATTATTTCTGATGACTTAAAGGTAGGCAGACAATGTAATAGAGCAGCAGGAAATGCTAGCAGAATGCTTGGTTGTATATGGAGAGGTATCAGCAGTAGAAAGAGGGAAGTGCTCATGCCATTGTACAGAACACTGGTGAGACCTCACTTGGAGTATTGTACGCAGTACTGGAGACCGTATCTTCAGAAGGATATTAATACTTTAGAGAGAGTTCAGAGAAGGGCTACTAAACTGGTTCATGGATTGCAGGATAAAACTTACCAGGACAGGTTAAAGGTTTAAAAATAATATCAGGAAGTATTACTTTTGTTGTGCTATTTGGTGCCTCATAATTTTTAATTTTAAAAGAAAACAATATGGATGCTGGTAGACTGGCCTGGACATTTCGTAATGCTGTTTCAACACAGGTCAAAGTTACTTTGTATTTTGTAACCTTAAGAAGTAAACATGAGGAATACTTATCTACAGTTTAATTTGTGAGCTGTAGATGTACGAGGGTAACGAGAACAATGGTTTATTACTCAATGGGACTTTACAATCCGAGATACTTAAACTCACAGAGCTTCAAAGGGGTATACAAACTATGCAATTGTTTGTGCATAAACATCACAGGCAATCCAGAGTGTTTGTCAGCCATTCGAACCCAAAGTCTGAGGTCGCTGCCATGTTTTCAGGATATTAGAACTTAAATGAATCTATTGGAATCATGCATGATATACAAATGTAAACTAAATGTGTGATTGCTACGGTAATGTCTATAACTGCATCCTTGACTGATTTAGGGTAAAAGGTAATATAGATATACTAATATAATTAGATTCTATTTTTCCTGACCCTCAACACGGAGCCTTGTCTCGTCTTTGGGGGGATTTACTGAACGCTGATAGAGACTGATTGCTAGGAGTGTAAGCCGCTTGGATGCTTTTCTTATTCGTCTGCTAGCAGCGATTCGTATGGTTCCAGTTCGTGTGTTTGGAGTGCTGTATTGGATGCCGTTCGGGAGTTTGGAGCATTCACTTATTGGTGGTTCGTGAGTTTGGTGTTCTACAATAGCTGTGCCTGCATCTCTGGAAAGGGGTATGATCGCCTAAACGGTTTTACCCCTTGTGTGCAAAACGGTCCATTACAATTGGTGGCAAGCAGCAGGATCGTTCCCACAGTCTACAGGACAGCTACAGGCGACACCATTCCGTGGATTTACAAAGATGAATGTATCAATCAGTTATTCATACAGGATATAGACATATTGCATGATGATTAATATAACCAACTCTGTTTCAATCAAAGAATATACATAACCAAAGACAGATATTTAACGTAATTTGAAATATCCCCAGTATAGGTGAATTAAAGGCCAATTCATTTATTTAACCAGGTCATCAATGATCTAATTCAGGTCTTCATACCTAGTGCCATCTATTGATGAAAGTCCCCAAGGGCCACATTAATAATTAAATATTAAGATACGCCCATAACCAATCAAAAGCCAGATTTAAGTCCCAGGTACCGCCCATTTACAAACAAGGGGCAGGAACTGATAAGGGGGAAATAATGGTTAAATAGGGAGAAAAATAAGAGAGAGGAGCAATATCTTCAGATCATCTTAAAAAAAGATCAAAGGAGAAAACAGAGGGCTAAGAAAGGAGGAGATTGACTGACTAAGGGCAATAGACTGAATTACAGACCAGAGCACCCAGAGAGGAGAATCCCAAATTGAATTCATTCATCCTAGACTCTTGGTAATGTATAAAGGTTTCTCTTTACTTTATATTAAATAAACGGGACTATTGAATGCCCTATGTGTCTATATTGTGAACGGATCCCTATTGATAGAACAGTTATATCTCATTCTACCTGCAGCCGGAGTCAGATATAACTTCCTAAGTCGGAACATTCTTGATTCCTTCTTTAGACGTAGATCAGTTCAATATATATACTAAGGCTATCAGAAACCTTATATAAACGTACTGTAGTTAAACTGATGGTATATACTTGGCAGGGTTGGTTGATATTTAACTAATTAATATAATGACCATTGTATCATTAATGCAAGGGGTGTCATATGATTAATTCTGTATACTGGTATTGCTGTGAAGTTTGTAATAGATTTTATTGTCCTTTGTTGATAAGATTAGAGATGAGACAAAGTGTAATGTTGACTCCTAGGCTTGTCAAGTAAACTAATTGACTTGTTGATAGAAACTCATATATAATACAGCAAATTGATTGTAATTGTATTGTTTTGTTGCTTCGCATTTTATAGTGTGAATTATTAAATTTATATATATTTTAAGCAAAGTCTATTTATTGGCCATCTGCCGTTCATAAGTGTTTATATCACCGCTTAAAACAAAGAACTACAGGGTCCCTGAAGGCTCTGTGTGTGTGTGAATATCATCAGATATTATTCAATCTATATTCCATACATATAAAACCTTAGATTACCCAACACTTTACTGAGAGGGTAGTGGATGCATGGAATGGCCTTCCAGCTGAAGTGGTAGAGGGTAACACAGTAAAGGAGTTTAAGCATGCATGGGATAGGCATAAGGCTATTCTAACTATAAGATAAGGCCAGGGACTAATGAAATTATTTAGTAAATTGGGCAGACTAGATGGGCCGAATGGTTCTTATCTGCCGTCACATACTATGGTTCTACAACTGCCAGAAGAATTGTTCGGGATATAAATAAAAACCCACAGGTAACCTCAGGAAAAACATGGTGTGGTTGTTTCAAGGAGCACATAGAGCATAGAATACAATGCCACAAAAAAGCCCGGTTACAATATGGGCGACAACACATTGACACGCCTCACAGCTTCTGGCACACTGTAATTTGGGGTGATATATATATATGATCTAAGTATATATTTTATTTTAAACTGTTATTAAATCTTTTATTTTACAGTTTACAGGCAGCAGGGAGAGTACCGGTCATTACAGGCACTCCCCTTGCTGGCAATGCCGTCCATGTGATCGTGAGGTCCTTGCAAGGACTTCACGATCACGTGGCCCGGGGGCTGAAGAGGAACTCCCTGGGTAAGTACATAGGACGGCTTGGGCGTTCTATGCCGCCCGCCGGCGCTTAGAGCCGGGTCCCCAAAGATGGCATAGAACACCCGCCGTCCTTAAGGGGTTGAAAAACAGGTACATAGATGACCAATTCTCTAAGGGGGATATATTAAGTTATTTTAGAGTTAATTAATAATGTTGGTTACTCCAACTGCTACTGGTATATAATGTATATAGGATGTACATATATTTAGGATATTTGCCTGCTATCTCTCTTACATAAGCTAACTTTTATATAATATTATGATTAATAATACAGGAGAGGCTAGTTGGCAAATACTTTAATAAAGCCTTTTTTCTACTCCGATTTCATTGATATCTGGGAGTATAAGTGATCACCAGACAGATCAGTAATGCTTTCTTAAACTATAACCTTTCACTGACCGTGTATTGTATTAGTACCAGTTCATCATTTCTGTTCTATACCAGGCAGCATTTCCCATCTGTTTTCTTTTGGGAACTGCAAATTATTTATATATATATATATATATATATATATATATATATATAAAAAGTTCATTATGTTTATTATTTATTTCAATGCGCTTAACAATTTGTATAACTTTTTTTCAGTGACAACCCAGGCAGTCCCCCTGCAGGGAGCAGCCTGGAAGGCTATTCCATCCATGTGATTCTGATTACATCATGATCACATGGGCCGGGGGGCCTGATTGGCCGCAGGAGGATTGCCTGGGTTGTCCGAATCGGAGCACCGATGAATGCCGTGCAAGGTAAGTATAGCAGCGCACAGTACGCCCTGCTGTGTTAATCTTATCAAGTATGATAATTGACTCATTCATGGTATAGCAAATTGATTATAATTGTATTGTTTTGTTGCTTTGCATATTATAGTGTGTACTATTAAACGTATGCATATATATATATATATATATCTATATATATATCTATATATATATATATATATATTTTAAGCAATATCTCTTTATTTGCCATCTGCCGTTCATAAGTGTTTATATCACCGCTTACAACAAAGAACTACAGGGTCTGTGAAGGCTCTATGTGTATACAACCTGATTTTATTAGATCTAAATTCCATACATATAAAACCTTAGATCACCCAACAAGTAAAGTATTTCACTTCTAGTGGCTGTGTGTTCTAAAAAGTGCTAAAGTATTTATTTTCTGTGTTATATAGAGAGCTTAAATATTCTGCTTATAGCAAATGTGTGTCTAAGGCAAAGGAAAGTTTTTTTTTACTGTAAGAACAATCAGGATGTGGAATTTTCTGCCTGAGGAAGTGGTTTTATCAGAGTCCATACAGATGTTCAAACGGCTACTAGATGCATACTTGCAAGAACAGAATATTCAAGGATATAATCTTTCAATGTAGGGTAATAACTGCTTGATCCAAGGATAAATCTGACTGCCATTCTGGGGTCAAGAAGGATTTTTTTTCCTAGTTTGTTGCAAAATTGTGCTTCAAACTTTTTTTTTTGCCTTCTTTTGGATCAACAGCAAAAAACAAGGAAGGCTGAACTTGATGGACGCAAGTTTCTTTTCAGCTATGTAACTATTTGGTACTTGTCAAAGTTACCCAGATCTTTTCGTCTGTCCATTTTTCCTGCTTCCAACACATGAAATCTCATTCTACCATTCTCATTCTACCTGACTGTTAGCTTGCTGTCTAATACATTCCATTTAGTGACAGGTGCCACTGTAATAATATAATCGGTGTTATTCACTCCATCTGTCAGTGGTTTTAATGTGGCTGATCAATGTACATTCTAGCGCCTCTGTGTTATAAGTGAGTACTGGCTGTTTATTATATAGATATACTACCAGAAGGCAATCTACAACACAAAAATAATAGAGACGGACATAGAGTAGTAACGTAGTATGATGGGAATTATAGAGGTAAATAGTTACACGCACAGACCCAATTTGATTGAAGGCATGTCATAAATAACGATGTGTATACATCTGGACTTGTGGAACGTCAATACCATATATAGGAGGAAGAAAAGAAATAATAGTGCAGAGTATCTTAAGTAAAAACGACAAAATTTATTACAAGATACAGTTACAAAAAGGACGTATCAAAAAGGGACATCAAACTCTGCTGAAGCTGCAACCCAATCCCAAGATCAGAAGAGCAGGAGAGCCAAATAAAAATAAACTTAAAAACTATAAAAAACAAATACTCAGCACATAAAACAAGCCCTACACGTTTCGTTCATATAAGAACTTCATCAGGGGAATCCAATCCAATGTAGACAAGAAATAAGTAGATCGATCGTCTCTTTATAAATGCATCCAAATCTGCAGCGAATAAAATCAGCTGTGCGAGTTACTTCCAGGTTCCGGCTTCAGCATATTTCCGGATACGCCCCTATTGCGTTCCGGAGGTGCTGTCCAAGCCTCGTTCTGAAATTCCTCCGGATAGGCGGAAGTCAAGACGATCGTGCGTTCCACTTTGCGTTCCATTCTCGGAATTAAACACATAAATCCCCAAACACATCATTAAACAGAAAAAAACTGGATGTATATAAAAAAGGAAAATTTCTTCTTCACTCAATTTGAAAAGGGGTGGTAATAAAAATAATAGTAAATCGATAAGAAAATATGAAATACAAATAAAAATAAAAAATTAGATAAAAGTAAAAATAAAATAAAAATAATAAATAATAAATAAAAAATTAGATAAAATAAAATGAATAGTGAACAGTAAATCATAAAAAACAAACCAAATCAAAATCAACATTTAAACCCCTCGGTTTCATGGTTTGCAATGTATGAATCCAATAACCCTCTCTTTTTCTTAGAGCCATCATATGATCCCCTCCTCTCTAATTTAAAGTTACCTGCTCTATAGCTACGCATTTAAACGTGTCAAAATTGAACAAAAGACAATTGTTACAATGTACAGGTACACTTTAACTTGAGTTTGTGTACTTGTAAAATCCTTTATAACACTGAATCGATGACTACAACTCTTGCAGTTCCCACAGGTATAGAAACCTCCCATACACCTGGTCTGATCTTTTCCTGATCTAAAAGTGCTGGGTGCAAGGATCTGCTTTAAATTAGTCCCTTTACTAAATATAGTTTTCGGAGCTTGAGGGATTTGTGTACTCAAAAACTCGTCTTCGAAAAGTAATCCCCAATGTTTCTTAATTATTCTTTGTATATCAAAAGCTCTTCCATTATATTGGGTATTAAAAGAAAAATCAAAAATAGGGTTCCTAGTTAAATCTTTTGTTTTATTTAAAAGTAAATTATTGCGATTAATTTTCCCAACTCTATCAAGCTCTATATCTAAAAACTCAGAGGTATAACCCTTATCCAAAAAACGTTGTTTAAGGATCCCAGCTTGTGTAAAAAAATAAGTCTTGGTCACTGCAGTTCCTAAGTAACCTGACAAATTGGCTTTTGGGAACTCCAGTTAGGGTGATGTCCACTTTTGGTATCAATAAAGCTATTAGAATCAATAGTTTTAAAGAAGGTCTTTGTTTTGATCTTCCGATCTTCTATAAAAATAGATAGGTCAAGAACAGTAAAGGAGGAGACTATATTTAAAAGAAGAAAAACTACCACAACAAGAGGACATAGTCTTAAATTAGAGGGACAAAGGTTTAAAAATAATATCAGGAAGTATTACTTTACTGAGAGGGTAGTGGATGCATGGAATAGCCTTCCAGCTGAAGTGGTAGAAGTTAACACAGTAAAGGAGTTTAAGCATGCGTGGGATAGGCATAAGGCTATCCTAGCTATAAGATAAGGCTAGGGACTAATGAAAGTATTTAGAAAATTGGGCAGACTAGATGGGCCGAATGGTTCTTATCTGCCGTCACATTCTATGTTTCTAAAATCAATATCACAAACACCCACCTTGGGAGTGAAAATAAGAGATAAAGAATTGTGATTAACAAATGAAAAAGTCATGTAGGAGATCTACAGGGCCATGACAAATCATCAGGACGTCGTGGCCTGAACATTGGCTATGCCAATGTTTTTATGGATAGTTGGGAGAAAGCATTTATTTGGTCCAACAATCCGTTTGGTGCAAACTTGGTGCTCTGGAGAAGGTATATCGACGACGTCCTGATGAGTTGGCATGGCCCTGTAGATCTCCTACATTACTTTTTTTCATATGTTAATCACAATTCTTTATCTCTTATTTTCACTCCCAAGGTGGGTGTTTGTGATATTGATTTTCTTGACCTATCTATTTTTATAGAAGATCGGAAGATCAAAACAAGGACCTTCTTTAAAACTATTGATTCTAATAGCTTTATTGATACCAAAAGTGGACATCACCCTAACTGGCTGAAAGGAGTTCCCAAAAGCCAATTTGTCAGGTTACTTAGGAACTGCAGTGACCAAGACTCATTTTTTACACAAGCTGGGATCCTTAAACAACGTTTTTTGGATAAGGGTTATACCTCTGAGTTTTTAGATATAGAGCTTGATAGAGTTGGGAAAATTAATCGCAATAATTTACTTCTAAATAAAACAAAAGATTTAACAACTAGGAACCCTATTTTTGATTTTTCTTTTAATACCCAATATAATGGAAGAGCTTTTGATATACAAAGAATAATTAAGAAACATTGGGGATTACTTTTCGAAGACGAGTTTTTGAGTACACAAATCCCTCAAGCTCCGAAAACTATATTTAGTAAAGGGACTAATTTAAATCAGATCCTTGCACCCAGCACTTTTAGATCAGGAAAAGATCAGACCAGGTGTATGGGAGGTTTCTATACCTGTGGGAACTGCAAGAGTTGTAGTCATCGATTCAGTGTTATAAAGGATTTTACAAGTACACAAACTCAAGTTAAAGTGTACCTGTACATTGTAACAATTGTCTTTTGTTCAATTTTGACACGTTTAAATGTGTAGCTATAGAGCAGGTAACTTTAAATGAGAGAGGAGGGGATCTTAAGATGGCTCTAAGAAAAAGAGAGGGTTATTGGATTCATACATTGCAAACCATGAAACCAAGGGGTTTAAATGTGGATTTTGATTTGGTTTGTTTTTTATGATTTACTGTTCACTATTCATTTTATTTTATCATTTTATTTTATCTAATTTTTTATTTTTATTTGTATTTAATATTTTCTTATCGATTTACTATTATTTTTATTACCACCCCTTTTCAAATTGAGTGAAGAAGAAATTTTCCTTTTTTATATACATCCAGTTTTTTTCTGTTTAATGATGTGTTTGGGGACTTATGTGTTTAATTCCGAGAATGGAACGCAAAGTGGAACGCACGATCGTCTTGACTTCCGCCTATCCGGAGGAATTTCAGAACGAGGCTTGGACAGCACCTCTGGAACGCAATAGGGGCGTATCCGGAAATATGCTGAAGCCGGAACCTGGAAGTAACTTGCACAGCTGATTTTATTCGCTGCAGATTTGGATGCATTTATAAAGAGACGATCGATCTACTTATTTCTTGTCTACATTGGATTGGATGTCCCTGATGAAGTTATTATATGAACGAAACGTGTAGGGCTTGTTTTATGTGCTGAGTATTTGTTTTTTATAGTTTTTAAGTTTATTTTTATTTGGCTTTCCTGCTCTTCTGATCTTGGGATTGGGTTGCAGCTTCAGCAGAGTTTGATGTCCCTTTTTGATACATCCTTTTTGTAAGTGTATCTTGTAATAAATTTTGTCGTTTTTACTTAAGATACTCTGCACTATTATTTCTTTTCTTCCTCCTATATATGGTATTGACGTTCCACAAGTCCAGAAGTATACACATCGTTATTTATGACATGCCTTCAATCAAATTGGGTCTGTGAGTGTAACTATTTACCTCTATAATTCCCATCATACTACGTTACTTACTATGTCCGTCTCTATTATTTCTGTGTTGTAGATTGCCTTCTGGTAGTATATCAATATTGTTTTAAGGACATATGAGGAGTCCTTTCATCTACTTCACTATTGATTAAGGGTAATTTTTGTATGTTCCTACCTATTACCCACTAAGTGTGTTTTCTACCTGCACACAGGTGTTTTTGTATCCATTTTATATATTGTTTATTATATAGATCAAGTAGTAATCTTTTAGCAGCTATGTTGTACAGAGAGGTAAAGCATGTGTATTATACATAAAAAGAAAACTGTATTATAAAGAAGCACAGTGAGGGAGGAGAGGTTAAGGTGAAGATATTTATTGGTGATAACACTTTGTAGAAAGGTATAAGTAGTACCTCTCACAGGTCCAACCTATAACTTATAAAATCCCAACATGATGCAACATAAAAATAGAGATATTTTTTTTAATAGAAATGTAACGGGCCTTTTTATTTATTACATTTAATAGAAGCAGTCAAGGCCTGAGAGTAACAGTTTGATTGTGCATTGCAGGTTTTCAGGCACTTTGAGGCAACAGTACAAGCAACAGAAAGGAGCAGTGGAGGAGCATTCCACTGAGAGCAGAAAGTGACAGTTGTGTGGGGCAGCAGAAGATTAATACTGCTTCAGAGGTAGCACAATGGCAATAAGGCACAGAAGCATCTCAAAGGAGCAGAAGAACCAGACACAGCACCAGCGTCATCTGCTAGAGACAAACCATTAGCATGGTTGCAAAAGATGATTAGGAATGATGACCAGATAACACAGGAGTGGAAAGGTTAGTTGTGACCGTCCTCCCGCAGCTCGGACGGAAGGAATTTATATTGCTGCTGTCTGATCATGGCCAACTTCTTCCGCGCCTCTTCCAGCTCTCGCTCTTTCCGTAACATTTCTTCTTGTGCTGCAATGATCTGCAAGAAACAAATTAAGATTGTTTTTTCTGTCATTTAATTTTCAAAAATATAACCATGTAGTTGTAATGACTTTACCCCTCTCAGCAGTTCCCTGGCACTCTACTTGCTGCTAGTTATTCTCTCT